AATATTATATCGTTTTCTATATTATATATATAGACAAATAACAAATAAAAAAATATTTTGTTTTATATTTTTAAGATAGAAAAATTGAAAAATATTCCCAGGCATATAGTAGAAAAAAATTAATTCATTTATTATTATCTATATTATCAATATAGCAAAATAAGGAATACAAAAAATATATGTTCCAGTATATAGTAGAGGATACATAGAAAAAAATATAATTTTTCATCTCCTGATCGTCTTAGAAAAGCTTCAACATCGATATTTTTTCTGTCGAAATATTTTGTGAAGAAAAACGTTCTCTATTATGTGAAAATTTCCGAGATATATCTGTACTTTGACTAATCTATTATACAAAGCATTTATTTGTGATGTCAAATATGATTTTACGATTCCATTAATAGAAAACATTGTCTTGCGCAGGACAATTTTGTGTATGTTGTACATTTCTCCATAATAGAAACTATTGAATCAACAATTCTCAAATAAGTAAAAGAACATGATAGATCACACAGAATCAAATAAGAGTAGACAAGACTTGGATTATGTAATGCTATAACTTTCTTTTGTTTATGAATCCTATTTAGTCAGATAAAATCAGATCAGAATCCTTTACTCTGTTCTTATATATTTCTTAATCTCAGAATCTAATAAGATGTCCAATGACATCTTTTATTCTGAATCTGACAAAAGCATTAAAAAAATGCATCTATTTTCACTGTCTCTTTTTGATCTCTTCTAGTACATTTCTCTTTTTTCTTTCCTGTCTACTTTACATCTCATGCATATCCCTTCTCTCTTGCATTCTTTTTGTGCATGGCATCGCATTTAGTCTATTTTCAATATTCTTGTTCAGAATCTTTGAGAAGATTATTATTGTCCCGAGATTTCTATTATATATATCCGCCCTTGTGCCTATGATATTCATTATGTTCAGAAGAATTCAGTGAAAACCCTCCCAGAATCGGTTTGTGACGAGCACTTTGTTCAGGGAATTTTTTGTATTTACTGTTCTAAATAAAGGAAAACTATAATTCTAATAATTACTTTACAAGACTGAAGAGAAAAACAATCTAATTTGGGCAAGAATACCAGTCCATCAATCAAAATCATAGAAATATGAATACATGTTATCCTATTATCTCCAAAAATTTGCTTGAGCATCCGAGGGTTAAATACACATAAGTTTTTGAACATAATTAAATCTACGATTGATATCAAATAGTAGCCTAATAATTTATTGCTTTAAAAACGTTTTCATAAAATTCAGAGATAGGCACCTCCATTCTGTCCTGTTCCTACTCCATTTTCACTCTGATATCAACCATTCCAAAATACTTACTCTTCAGATCCTCCTGAACATATCCATAACATACGAGCTTACAGAAGACTTCTCAGAACAAGTACTACATAAGGATTATAACATGATCCTCATAGAAGATATTCATTATTTTGAGATTTTGGGATTTTGACAAAGTATCTTATTTAGTCACCAAGATTCTGTTCTAGGACCCTAATACAATGGTTTGAAGATGGCGTTCATCAAAAGTTAAAAATAGCATTTCAGAACACTTTCTTTTTCAAAGCCCATAAAATCCATAGATCCCAATGTTTGTCACTGGAGAACTCCGTTCGGATTGACATCCACCTTTTCAGCATTTGTAAAAGAAGAAGTCCCCTTAGATTAAATAGATTCGCGTGGGATCCTCTCAACTTTGTTCAATTTCTCCTGTATCCAAACCTTCTCGTGATCTTACTCAGAGTACATCACAGTTGTTCTTCGAACAGCTTGACATAACTTATCAAAAGCCTTATAAAATTTCACCGGCATTCTCTATGCAAATACTTAGGAGTTTCTTCGGCAGATCTACATTCATCATACAGTAAATCATGTATCCTTAAGGTTTCCTAAAAAACATAGGGATTAGGTTTGATATTTTGTTGTTCAACGATTCGATATTCTTCTCACATGATGCAGATAGAATCTCCTCTGATATTCATATAAATGATCATTCTGCCAAAAAGATTCTGAATTCTTGCAATTCTGAATAAAATCCTCAGATCCTTATGTTTTTCTATCAAAAACTTACATGGAATTAGCATTACTCTTTCTTGGAGAACCTCCTTACAACAATCTCCAGATATTATTTTTATGATCAAAAAGATTTTGGCAAAAACTAGAAGTAACATAGATGTAAGAATCGTTACCAAATCCTTTTTTTCTCATAAGAAACTAGGAAAAGACTTCTGAATTTTTATCTGTGGAGTGAGCATTGTCAAAGATGAATGTCATATTTGTAGCGCTTGCTCTCACGAGAGACGGGATCCCTTCGACAACGACGATTTCTTTTCTTTTTTTGTTCATTGTAGTAATTCTCAATATTCCAGCCGATGCCCGATGGGCACAGAATGGGGTGACTGTTGCTGGAGGTCATGGACGAGGCAGTGCTACCAATCAACTCGACTGGTCTTATGGTCTCTTCGTTGATGATGATCAAACGATGGTTATCGCTGACCTCCGCAATCATCGTATCATCCAATGGAAGATGGGTGATAAGAATGGACAAGTAGTAGCTGGTGGTCATGACCAAGGAAGTCGATTGGATCAATTGAAATACCCAGCCGATGTGTTAGTTGACAAAGAGACGGATAGTCTCATTATTTGTGATTTGGGGAATGACCGAGTCGTACGATGGTCTCGTCGTAGTGGCACAACTCAAGGAGAAATTCTCATCGACAACATCTGGTGTTGGGGATTGGTCATGGATGATCAGAGATATCTCTACATCTCTGACACCGACAAACATGAAGTAAGACGATATCAAATAGGAGACAAGAATGGAACTATCGTGGCTGGTGGCAATGGCGAAGGTGCTGGCCTCAATCAACTCGACTACCCGACCTACATCTTTGTCGATCAACAACAGACTGTCTACGTGTCAGACAGGGACAATCATCGTGTAATGAAATGGAATAAAGGTGCAAAAGAAGGAATTATAGTCGCTGGAGGTCAAGGCCAAGGGGATGCTCTGACACAATTGTCGTATCCTCGTGGACTGTTCGTCGATACATTGGGTACCATCTATGTAGCAAACTCGGGGAATAGTCGAGTAATGCGTTGGCCTAAAGGAGCGAAACAGGGCACTGTCATTGTGGGTGGAAATGGTGAAGGAGAAGGAGCAAATCAGTTCAAGTCTCCCGAGGGTTTGTCCTTCGATCAACATGGCAATCTCTATGTCGTCGATGAGGGGAATTCTCGTGTTCAACGTTTTTCAATCGAATAGACTCGTTGTGATAGATTTTTTTTTGCGTTCCTTTCGTTTCAAATAAATCACATTGAATTCATGAAATGAATGTCTATACTATTCGCGCGCGCGACCAGGAACCATCCTGGTGGAGCCGTGGCGAGCGTAACGCTCATGCACGCGCAGGACAGACTCATATCATTCATATCCTCCCCGCGAGAGATATGTCAATGAGTCTGAATAAGCCTGGTCGTGTGCCACGGACACTAAGACGATTCCTGGCCGAGCTTTTAGGGACTACCCGGAAGTCCTTCATAAGAGACGAAGCCCTAACCCTCAACGAACAGAACTCCCCCTCGTCTCTCACTAACACTCACTTTCCTTAGTCTCACCCTAACCTCTCAGTCTCACTACCTATTCTCATCTCAAAAAAAAAAATGACTTACCGTGTCTGACGTTGTTGACGCGATGATATTGATAGCTGAAAGAAATAGAAAAAAAAATTTAATCAATGTTATTTAATAAAATAGAATGAGATGACTCCCTAATTTTATCTTTTTCGTCATTGTTTATTCCCTAAAATAAAAAAGAAAATAATAAAAAGATCAAAGGAGGCCTTACCCCACCATCCTTATGATTGTAAAAGAAAAATAAAGTAAAACTAATACCTACATTTTTTTTATTGTATAACTTGATCTTGATTTGAGTAATATTGTATCATTGAGGCCAATCTAAAACAGAAAAGAAAAATGATTATTATTTGATTCAAAAATTTGAATGATTTTACATAGAAAATCATTCGTATATATACCTTGAAAAATCATTTTTTTCTCTCGTCGAAAATGATATACATATTTAATTGTACATGTTGATCATTGATCGTCAATGATAACAACATGAACAATGATTTATGGACGAGAGAAAGATAAAAAAGAAAAGAGAAAATTTCTCTCTTCACATATATCTCTTTTTTCTTTCCTTTCTCTCTTGTTAACATTAACATATATAATGATTTATTTATGAATTTGTTTTTAGATTGTATCTCATTTGGAATGAAAATGAAATTATTTTGTTTATTTTTATTAATGATACTCGATAACAACATTTATGTATAATTATTTTATTTGTTATGATAAAATACAAAATATATTACATCAGACGAACTATTACTTAAGTAGACATACTTAATGTTAAAAACTGTTGATTTAATTTCATAGACTGTCGAAAAAAACAAAACAATGGAAGTTTTTAAACACTTAAATTTTTACAATAATATTCTTTTTGGATGAACATATCTAAATATCAACAAAATTTTAGATCAAAATAATTCATTACAGAAGTTTGAAAAAATCTTTCTTTGTTAGGTGGATTTATTACAACAGAAAAGAATGAAACAAGATATATTCTTCATTTGAATAAAAATTTATTTATATCGACATCAAGATCAACAATTTGTTATTCATGTACAAGTATGTATTATTCAATAAAGAAAAAAGATTAAAAAATGTATATATAATAATGTTTTTAGTGATTTGGAGAATTTTATGCTTAATGGATAATGTTGATAAATTCATGTGTACAATTAATTTAACTAATAATTAAACAACAACATCGTCAGATTTCTTCATTATTATTATTTTCATCATCAACATATGATTAATAGTCCATTACTTGATTTATTATTCAATACAACTATTAAAACGAAAATATGAATTAATACTATACCAAATTCGGAAACATTTTAATATTAATAAAAATGAGTATGTATTAGATGACAATATTGTTATAAAGAACAAAATATTAACATATATAATTAGTATTTAATTGGAATGAAATATAAGAGAAATCGAATGAAAATTAATATTAATTTTACAGTATTATTAAATATTATTCAAGTAAGATAATTATTCAATGAAATATGTTTTACTAGTTAAAAAAAAAATGATAGCGTCTGTTGAGTTACTTGTGAAAATATTCTGTTGTTAACAGACTCGACCAACGTTATTATCGCAAAAACTATATTTGCAAAAAAAACATCATAAAATGATTAAGTACCAACAGACTCGATATTTTTCCAAGATTTTTACTCGTCATATACTTAAGAAAAAAACTATGTATACTTTTTCTATAAACATTATTTGATTGTTCGATACGATAGCAAAGTCTGAATATGAACTCGCGTCTCAGCAATTAAACAATAGTTTTGAAAAAGAAAGCATAAATCTTTTTCTGCTTGTTTATCAGTCGAATAAAATCATTAGAAAAAAATTATCGAGTGTAACGAGATTTGATATCTTTGACGTATTTCAATTTTCATAGACTATTATGGAATTCTTCTCGTACTAAACCAGGGTTGCCAGATCGAAAAATTAGAAATCGAAATGTTTTAACCAAAATTTGAAATTTTTTATATTCTACTTCGGAAAAAGTTCGGAAAGCAGTTGTTTTACTATCAAATATATATACCACCTTTTTTATGGACATGTGTGTTGCTCTATCAACATTTTGTGCAAAAATTGTTGCCGATATACTTATTTCTTTCTTCAATCTCACTTAAATACACATCTGAATCATCATCTTCATCATTCATGGCTGAATTTAATTCAGGATAACAAGATACAATTTTCATGTAAAATAATACTTTTCTAAACTTAAAGTTCAGTCCATGTCAAAGAAGTTATTGCTTCAAATGACATTTTTTTTAAACAACACAAAGTATTCATTAAGTTCGGATAGATCTTAAATTCAAACGATCTTACATTATAAATAGTCTCAAAATTGTATTATGGAATGATTACAGTAGAACAACGACAGCGTATGAATTGCTAACGAAAGTTAAATTAGAAGTTATAACCAAAGTCATTAAATCTCGAATCTAGAGAAATAACAGGTCACGAAAAAATATTCAAAATTCGGAAGATCTGGCAGCCCCGTACTGAACAAATCATTCATATTGTACAGTAGCGTGCAACATAGGTCAAAATTCTTGTGATCCGATTGGAGTCGGATACTTATCGGATTTTAATTGCAACAATGATGGACTAGTTGAATTTTCTTGTATTACATTAGCTCATCTATGCAGATCGTTACTTTCATTTTCGAATGAACTATTTTTTTGTAATCAATTCCAATATTATTTTTCATAACTTTTATTTTGTTTTCTTAAGGTAATTTTATGTCATTGAATAGATAATGTAAAAAATAAAAATTATTTCGAATAGATTCGTGAACATAACATTGAATTAGGCGAACAATATTGAGTTGTATTTAATGATACGACTTATTCAACGTTAACTTAAATATACATCAATAAAACATATTGATTATCAATTATTAATTGATTCATTGGGTAAATTACGTGAAATAGCAAAAAAAAAATTAATTGAAGAAAGTAGAAAAACGGAAAAACATTTATCAATGTTTTGATATTGTTCATATTATTGATAATTGTCGTGAAATTTTAGTCAGAGTTTCTTGCTGCACATCATGATTATATAGAAAAATTTCAAGTTATTGAACTTCAACAAGAATTAACAAGAATACAACTACATTTAACTCGTTTTCTTTTCTCCGATTATCTTGAATATATGTGAAAAGCATTCGGTATGAAAATATATTCCACTTATTCAATTGGGGAATATTCAATGTTAATTTGATATTAATCCATCATCATTAACAATTGATGATAAAATTATTGACTGTTTTTGTTTTTTGTGGAACTCACATTACGTCTTTCTTTTCGAAGAAAAATAGAATAAGTGTAAGTTTTAGAGACACGCGACACAAAAATTTAGACGTTTGCTGAATTCTTACTCATCATATTTTCATTAGAATTTATTTCATATTTCTCATGGCATCCGGATGGTGATCATTTATGAATGCGGCCATTATAGACTTTTACTTTAAAAGTAGTAACTATGAGAGATCAGATCCATACTCAACGAGCTCTATCGAGAACTATGAGAAAAGCAGTTATCTCAACTGGCACTAAAGGTTATACAGTTATATATTGTATGACTTTAAGTGTATAAATAAAAAGAAAGCGAATATTGAAGAAGTTTTTAGATGTGATACGATTCAACAATGGAGTAGTTTTCTCTAAACAAAAACCCATACCCACACCCTTTACAGGAAATGGTGAAAGAAACTCATCCGAAAAAAGTAAAGAAAGTCAAAGATGAAAAAAATATGAAAATCATATTAACTTCGAAAAACAAAAACGGGTAAAATTTGATTTCTCATGTATTCATTTATAATCTGGTAGAAGTTTTTCAGTTCAAGTATTTAGGAGGGGTATAATGATACTAAAGAACACATGTGAGTTCTACATTATAGTTCTCAACGAGCTGCACTGACACAATCTCTATTTTTATTTAAATAGAATTTTTCTAATTCAAGAAATTGAACAATTTGGAATACTGTGTTCAATTGATGGTCATACACATATCTTCATTATCATCGATTTCAACATTATCGAATAGTACTTCATCATCATGGAAATAAGAAAATCTATGTACTTTATCAGTTAGCTAAAGCGATTCTCATAGTGTACAATTTTTATTCTAGTCTTCACTTATTCAAACATTACTTGAAAATTCAGACATTGATTCAGATTGACGTTCAACTAGCCGTCTAAATTTATTAGATTTAGCATTTAAACGTTTTGAAAATTTTCCTTTTTTTTAAATTAATTAACATAGAATAAATATGTCTGTATTTGACTAAATTTTAGTGGTCTTCATAAAGCAAAGAAACGAGTAAGTGGAGTTTTTTTATTCAATCCAGAACCTAATAAACATTTAACAAAAAAAACATTAATTGTCCAATTCATTTATTAGAAGATGAATGATCGAATAGTTTCGATTCAAGTGAACAAATGAGTGTATCATCAAGACAAGTAAGTATTTCAAATAAGAATTTCTCATAATTAAACTAAAACATTCACAAAACTTTGACTCATTTAACAACTGAAAGAAATCGGAAATGCGTGTGCTCAGAAAGACTAGTGCTTCAGTTGAAAGGTTATTTAGCTCAGCTGGATTGACATTTACTCAGTGACGAATACGTTTATCAAATATATCATTTATTCTTTCTTGTCATCTATCTATTGATATTGATTACATTTTGAATAATTAATATTTTAAGTTTGTTTTGTTCAATTTATCAAATAGTATGGGGATCGAATATTCTGATTGGCTTTTTTCTTTGTTTTGACTGTAGTGATATATTAATTCATGAGAAAAACGAACGAAATAAGAACTATTCTTTGATTAAATGGGTGTAGTTACGACGAGAGTAAAAGTGACTTGTACCGAATTACTTTTAAAGTAATCCAAAACTAGCTTTATTGAAGCCCAAATAGAAATTTAATAGATGAATAATTGATACAATTGTATAGAATTCTATAATCATCTTTAAAGTTATCATGATAACATAGGATACAAAAGCTTTGATACTAATTATTCCTTGATGTAGTGCTGAGTTAAATTTGCATTAATTGATGTTTTTGCGGAACAAAATCGATATCTTCGTCATTCATAACTTATTCAAATTTATGATACAACAGATTTTCAGTCTTTTTTCTGCTATGTAAATATATAATTACATAAGGAATTCTGTAAAACTAACTTCATGCTATAAAGTTAGGTTTTGAGTTGAATAACATTTACTTAAAATAAAAGAAAAATTGAGCCAAATAAAGTTTTTGTATCGATTTCAGTCTGGAGTTGTTCCAAACATCTACTTACATTATAAAAAGTTTGAATTAGAAATAACTTATGACCACATATTTTCGAAATTTATTGTTTTCCCTAATAAATATCCAAAACAGGAAGGAATATTTTATTATAAGACTTTACAGTAGAAGTCATGCTGAAATAAATACCTGTATCAGAAAAATTAGTATAAAGTACCTGCGGGAATCTTTCGTTTTTCTTCAATGTCATTTGTATGCCAAATTTAGTATAATAGTTTTGATGCAAGAAAGTACTCGGTACTTATCTCAAGAAAAATCTTAGTACTCTTCGAGAAAAGAACTCCAAATGTTTTGATATACTCGAAGAAAAGTGAAACTTTTTCCTCATTTTGAACAGTCGCAATCTGCAAAAGTAGGATATAATTAGATGTTCAATGTAATTCCTCAACAAAGTTCATCATTGAATGTTATTCAACACATCATTAAAAATTTTCTTACTTTTTAGTTTAGATATTAAAAAGATGAGATCAAGTTTTAAATAAAATCTTATCAAGAACTTTTCCCATCTATCGACGAACAACCGTCAGATGAGAATATGAAAAGTTGACTGACGACATATGGCTGTTCCGAATCTTCGTTCTCCATATATCGAAATTTTACTGAATATTTCAGCATAAAAATATATAGTTCCTCTCAGGTCATCTAGAAAATAGAATTTCGACTTCGAACTTTGCACAAACAAAGTTCTTAATGAGATTCGTCAATATAGAAAATCTCGTATATTCGATATTTCAGAATAGAAAAAAAAACTAGAAAATTTACAATTTGCCAAAAGAATTATTCTCATGTTTATGCAAAATTTGATTTCGAAAGTCGATTTTTCACGTGACCTGAGTAGGACTACAGA